CAGGGCCCAAGTGACCCCAGCTCTGCTCCGACTCCATGAGCTAGCCCAGACCCGCTCGGAAGGCGCGACCCCTCCTACCCTGTAGGGCCCCGCCGCCTCCTCCAGGAAAGCGCACGGCGTGGGCACGGTGCTCGGCGGCCTCGCGGCACAGCGCGCACAGCTGCGCCTCGTCCTCCTCACAGAAGAAGTAGAGCTTCTCCCCGTGCTCCGGGCAGGCGCCCCCCGCGCCCGGCCTGGACCCCGACTTGAGGCGCTCGATGTTCGCCACCACGCTGGCCAGCTGCCAGTTGGGCCGGAAGCCGCCGGCGCGGAAAGGCTCCTTGCAGAGCGGGCAGGCGGGGGCCCCCTCGGCCGGGCCCGGGGTCTCGCAGTACCGCGTGAGGCAGCCGCGGCAGAAGTTGTGGCCGCAGTCGATGGTGACCGGCTCCCTGAGGGCGCCCTGGCAGATGGGGCAGCTGACCTCCTCTTCCAGGCTGGTCACCGGGGTGGCCGCGGCCATGCCGCTGGGCTGAGGAGGAAGGACGGGGAGAGCAGTGAGGACTCACACTCACACGCACACAGGCGCGGCCGCTGCGCCTCGCGTGGCCAGGGCTCTGCTGTCCTCCCAAAGCAGAGACACCTCCGGGCCGAGGAGAACTGCGTGGGGTGGTTCTCGTCCTTCCAGGGATGACCTCGGCTCTCCCTGGACCCCGTCCAGGGCCACGGCCACAGGACAGTCGCGCGGGCGGAGGTGTCTCCGCAGTGCACCGTGGAGAGGCTTCTTGTGGGGGCCAGAGGGGGAGCCGGTGCCGCCCAGCCTCCTGCCCGGGCCAGCTGGGCCGGGAGATGGGAGGTATCAGCCGGCCCAGGGGAGTGTGGGCCCAGATAAGGGCTGTGCCGGGCTGCCCGCCAGCGGCCTGCAGGCGGCTGCGGGGGAGGAAGAGCCCGCAAAGCCGCCTTCGTTCTGCCGCCTGCGCCCTCCCGGAGGCCGGGCCGTGCTCTCCCTACTGCCTGCTCGGCGCTCCGGCTCTCAGGATGTTGGCGGCTCGGCCGTCACTTGCCCGCGGCCGCGGGGAAGGGCTGCCGGCCCTGCTGGGATCTGCGTGTCCCCCTCGTGCTGTCCAGTAACAGCGCAGCGGGAGCCACGTGTGCAGTCAAGCTTGTCTCAGCCGTCATATAAAACGTGAACAGTGAAGCAACTTTCATATTTTATTTAGCGTCAAATGTCACTTTAACGTCATCAGCATACAAGTGAGGCATGACCTGTTTCATTCACTGGGGGGCATATGGCCACACCTCAGTGTCCGCAGCCCCACGCAGTCGGCGGGGCTGGGCTGGCGAGCAGGGCGGGTGCAGGGAGGTGACCACAAAGCAGCTGGCGGAAGGCCAGGCCGAGGGCGGAGCAGAGTGGGGCTGGCCCGGAGCCAGGGCAGGAGAGTGAGGGTTTCGCGGTCTCAGAGGCACAGGTTCATGGGTGGAGAACTGCGGCTGTTGGGTGGCTGTGGGCTGGGAGGCTGCAGAGCCCAGGCTGGGTGGCCCTGCGGGTGTGCGCTGTCTAGCTCGGAGCCGGCCCTTTTCTGTAAAATGGAGGTTTTCATACCTCCCCCAGGGCTCTCATCAGATTGGGTATAATAACGTGAAATCAAGTGCTGGTAAACGTGGCTGAGTCTGCCAATCTGACGGACCAGAGCTTTCTCAAGTCTATCAACATGCATCCTGTGTTGCATCTCTCTCATCTTCTCCCACCTGCAGTGAAGTGCCTGTGACCAGACCTGGGGACCCTGGTGCTGGGGGGGGGGGAGGTAGGGCAGGGAGGGTCCAAG